AGTTGACTGGCACCCATCAGGATTGGGGCCCTTAAAGAAGAGAGCTGACTGATGTTCAGGGTCAAAGCTGACTAATCTCTTCTTTTAACCCACTGCTAAATGGTGATCTTGAGTTGTGAACAACTCTATAGCCGCATTTGAAAACAGGCCTTTTCCGAACTACTGATTGGACAAATTCTGAATATACATTAACCCATTATTGTGAAATAATGAAACCATTAGTTGGGTGAATTTAGTGTAGCTATTATGCATGCTCATGTTTAGATTGGTTTCATCTTGACTTAATGCATCAGTGGTGTTATTGTGAGGGAGTCATTCCACAAAATAATCAGTTGGCAATAAACCCTGATAAAGCACAGCAAGCAGCAACTAGACCATCCAATAAAAAGAAAAAAGTGTAAATGAACAATTTTCTTTCCTTTTAAAACACTCATTATAAAGTCAAGTGCATCATAACTTGAATAAAAGTGAGGACAAACCAAAATTAATATGCAAACCTGATGGTAATTTTCAGATCCCCATCAAATTGTATTAGTTAGCACAGCTTCTAGAGGAGGCAACTTTAGACACGTCTTCTTAACGATGTTTCAGGAATCATTCCAGTTCCCATTTACTACAGCTAAGCATCCAAATAGGTAGCTAATGTTACATTTTCTGGCCTCTAAAAGCCATTGAAAACATTTGATACTGCCAGCAGTTTTGCTCTGTTTCCAAGAAACATGCCTTCAGGCTGAGCCAAGTTGATCTCAGTGTAAAACAATGCATAATAAAAGAGACTAGAAAAAAAAAACCCAAACTCAATCTAAATCACTTCACTTTAAAAGCCTATTTGTGTTCCACTATCCACAAATTCAGGGTGAATATATGGGATCCCTGACAAGCCTGTTCTGTACAATCCACTTATCTCACTTGTAGCATCTGGGCATGGATATGATGGAGTGGATGCCATCCAACATGGCACCATGACAAAGTCAACAGTATAGTGTGCTCCACACGAGGACAATTGGCTTAATCATCTCTCACTGTCTATCCCTTTCCAAGCTGTCCATTAACTGTGGGTGCAGTGATGACCCTAATTCCACTGTAAACACAGACAATGACAAGTCCAGAGCACACAACCAGATGACGCCAATTTGAAACTAAAGTCAAACCTGCTCTGTGCATTTGCTTGTTCAGCTCATTTGTTACAGTCAGAGATGATAGTTTTTTCAGTCCTGAAGATCAGCAAAGAAAAAGCCAGACGTCGCTTTTTAAAGTTTGATAGTATTTGGGGAAATATTTATGACAGAATTAGACCAGAGCGTTTGAAAACTCTGACAACTACAGGCCAATTTGATAAATGATCTGCAGGTGTTGATAGCTTTCATGACCACCGCCAGTCATCTTGTTTCTAAGTACATTAGCAGACCTGACCCCAGATGCGCATTAATGTTCTAGCATGTTCCACTCTTTGTTTATTCAGTGTACTGTGTGTATGTGCACAGCGTAATTGTGTAATGCCCAGAGACAAATTTTGTCCTGGAGTTGGATGTTGTTTGCCAAGTGTTAAGCTCATCAGTGTTCTGTGCTGATCCTCAGGGGACGGTCTTCATTTGTATCTTTTGTTTATCAAGATGTTTGAATATTAACATGGGCCATTTTTCCAGTCATAATGAAGCAGCACTCCATGTCCACACATTTGCACATTTACATAGTGCTCTGTAATTCTGTCTCTCTCTGTCTTAATTTCCTGCTAGATGCATGCCATGAGAGCTATCATTTGCATATGTGTAAAAGGTCTTCAGTCTGGAGAACACCTCCCCTTCTTTCTTTGTATTCAAATATTTGTTTGTTTATGCATCAATTGCATTGGGCGTAAACAACATTAACGTTACGGTCTGCTGCTGTTGTGCTGGTTTAAATTTACATGTGTCGGACAACATGGACCCGAAGACAAAGATGTTAATCGCTCCCACTAATCAGCATTCCT